ACTTTTTTTAAATGATATCAACCTTCAGTCCAGTGGAGATATCAGCTTGACCTGTACTTTTTTAATGATAATGACCGTCAGTCAAGTTGAAAGATCAGCTTGACCTATACTTTTTTTAAATGATATCAACCTTCAGTCCAGTGGAGATATCAGCTTGACCTGTACTTTTTTTTAATGATAATAATCTTCAGTCCAGTGGAAAGATATTTAATGGTAAGTTATTTCAACACCGTAAGTTCACCGCGAAACGTTACAATTGTTAGGTAAAACAAAGACTTATTGCTTGACTTGCCAGCTGCGTTCAGACTTAGGTCAGCACCAATATACGTTCAAATAAATGTAAAATATTCTTTGCTTTGTTGTTGGTTTTGGCAAACACAATATCATCCTTCAATAACATCTTAATCAAAAATTTAATGTTCGCGCATGCGCTTTGAGTTAAGCACAGTAGAAAATTTCTTTTCTCAGTCTTACGTATATGAATGTTCTCAAATCGCACTGTTTCGTTGTTTTTATGTGTGTCCTAAATCTACCAATCGGCAAAATTAAGATTTTGTACATGCAACGAATAGATGGTCAGCAGAAAGTATGTGATGGCTTGGAGTATATGAGCTCACCTCTATGGGAAGGAAATCCTTATAAATTGACACAGCAGACAATCCATGATTTGAAGTTGAAAGTTTTTCTTTTTCTCTTTTTCAAGAAGGACATTAGAAAGGCACCCTGTCAAAAATGCACTTAAAGCTCGCGAGGGATAACAAATCTCTCGCGGCCAACAATCGAATATATGCTATTTGAAGATGATTCATTCCTCAATTTTCAATTAAAAAAAAAGACGTTTTACTTTATTTCTGTAACCTTCGAATTAAAATATTATATTCTACGAACCTGAACTATTATGATGCAAAAAATCGTAGAATTATTTATCACTAAATAATGTCCATAGTGGCTCAACGATAAGTTTGCAGAATTAAGACGCCAAAAATCGGGTTTCGATACTCGTGGTGAGAAGAGCACTGTTAGCCCATTGCGTAGCTTTGTGCTTAACAACAACGAAACCACACGCTAAATAATATTGCATGAGAATTTCTTAAAATGGGTCATGTTTTCAACATAGTCGATCTTATTTTGGTAGCACACTGTAGAAATACAGAAAGAAAAATTGGTTTAATGATTTGTAAATTTCCTTATATAAAAGCCCTCATTATTTATAAAATTAGGTGGGTGACTGTACATCAAACATGTAGACTAAACAAATCAAAAACTTGGAATTTCATTATCTCGATTAACGCTAAATTTGAGAAATTCGTAATTAATGTTGCTCAACGCACAACACATAAAACTCTACTTCGAATGTTTTCTAGGAATGCTTTCAGTTTCGATTGCATTTTCATAAACTTGCTAAACTTTTAGTTGCTAATTACATCTCTCGGATTCCTGGAGAGAATTACAAAATTAAAAAAAAAATCATTTCAACTTCAGACTTTTCCTTACGGAAATAACTACTTTCAGAGGGAATCTTCTTGTTAGTCATTGTGCAATTCTGTCAACACAAGATGAAAAAATATAAGATTAAATATTTGACCACTAAAGGCGGGTACGAAAAGGTATTGTAAGCATTCAATTTCTGTATAATTTCAAAATGAATTATAGTTTATATAATGTGTTAGATATAATCAACTATCCAGGTGTTAAAAATTTTGGTGTTTGTCAAGAATAATAGACAAGGTATTGTCTGATGCAAACGCATGTTTCCTACTTTGTTCTTTGATGATTTTTCTAGATCTATAAATATTAGTTACTCGTAATAATAACGCGATAAATTAATTTTTGGATACTTTCCAAAGACAAAAATGATGTCAGAAATATTACACAGTTCTCACCACCAGTTACAAAATGTAAAGCTTAAAAATATATTCCTCTAACAGCAGGAACTTTTATATGAACAATAATAAAAGTGTTGATAAATAGCTCAGTTATGTAGTGTAGTGGTGTATATCAATAATGATAATTCTCGATTCTTTGTTTAAACAAATTATAAGTGATTCTTTTTCTCATATAATACTTTATGAATAAATCACTCGTGAAAACTCACAGAAACAATATGTTGTTATTTTTTAATTAAATTCTTGCAACTTATCCTGAGAGTCCCGAATCTCCTTAATCTCCCACTATGAAAATTTCGAAAATCTAAATGTAGATCCTTATTTTGATTGGTTTGGTTTATTTTGAATTTCGCACAAAGCTATACGAGGGTTATTTGCGCTAGCCCTCCCTAATTTAGCAGTGTAAGGCAGGAGGGAAGGCAGCTAATCATCACTGCCAACTTTTGAGCTACTCTTTTACCAACGAATAGTGAGATTGACCTCATATTATGATGCCCACATGGCTGAAAAGGCAAGCGTGTTTGGTGGAACGGGGATTTGAACCCGCGACCTTCAGATTGCGAGTCAAGCGCGCTAACCACCTGGTCCCTTATTTTGAAAGATCCTTTACATATTTTTCTCAATTCTATAGTAATATAAACCTGTGCAGCCAAATATGAGAGCTGACATATCCACCTTCAAAAATCTAAAAGGGTAAGTTCTTGCTTTGAACAACCATTTTACATACCCTTGCAAATTTCTGTATAAATCTGTGCAGCCAATCCTGAGAGTCCCTAAATCCCTTTAAATCACCCATTAGAGCCCCCCCCCCCGGTATAAAAATTAAAAAAATATAAACGTGCATACTTATTTTGAATGTTACATTCCATGCCCACTCCAATATTCATGTCCATTCGTGAACCTAATTCCGAGAAACTTCAAACCCTTTAACTCTGTATATACATAGATATTGGTTGGATATCACTTAAAGAGTACTATAGCATGAGTAGGATCGTACTGGAATGAAATCATTTAAGAAAGAATTAAGTTCTTATGCTGTTTTTGTCAGAAGCTGTTTTCGTATTAATATCGTAAATACAGGGTGGAAAATATTTATGTTAATAACGTAAAAACAAGATGGAAAGTTATATAATTAATATCAAAAGACAGTGTGAAAATTTTGTATACTAATATCGTGAACACAGAGTGAAACGTTTTTATATTAATATCCCAAAGTCAGAGTCGAAAGTATTAGTATTAATACCATACAGACAGGGTGGAAAATATTTATGTTAATAACGTAAAAACAAGATGGAAAGTTATATAATTAATATCAAAAGACAGT